ACTTTTAATCCAGGTTACAATAATCCACACTTTTAATCCAGGTTACACTCTTCCCTCAATGACACATTTGACAAAGTAGCTACATATTGTGCAGGTATAAAGATACATTTGTATATATTTTTGTGTACATTTATTTTTTTAAGCTATTTGACTAACTTTTATTTTTTATTATTCAATATTTTATTAACACAATAGTCAAATAGCAACCTGTTTTTTGTGTGAATTGCTATGTCAGTCAAATGTTCACTTTTGGAATAAAGGGGTGGAAATTAAAACGTTGTGTTTTTTTTGCCGATTCATCGATTAATCGAAAAAATAATCGTCCGATGAATCTATTATTGAAATAATCGTTAGTTGCAGCCCTAATTTAAAACAAAAATGACACACAAAGCATGTTGGGTAGCCTTGTGGGAATTATATGTGCAATGTTTCTGACTGTTTACGATGTTCGAGTGGAAATGGGTTGTTCTTGTTTTCATCCTGTTCAGGTATGCTTTGGCCTTTATGTTAAAGTCTCTTATTGGCTGTAAACTGACAACAGGAGTCAGAGGTTGTTCCTGGTACATTTAACCTCCTGTAACCCTGCGTCCACATATGGGGACTAGCAATGCACGATATAAACGGTATACGGTAGAAACTATAGAAATTTAGCATACGACAGAGATCTGTCTTCTACCGGCTAACCGCAGTAATGCTGTGTCTGAAGTAAAATCAGAGTTGTCAGTTTAATTGTTACTTTTTTGTTGTTGAAAACTGTGCATAAGTGGTGTTCAAGTGTAAAATCAAAGCTGTCAGATTTAATCGTTACTTTTTTTTAGCTGAAAACTGTGCGTAAGTGGTGTTAAAGTATTTTCTTCGAGAGCCAAGTAGCGAAGCTACAAGCTAACTACAGCCGGCTTACCGTAGTGTTGCCGTATTAAAACGCATGCGCAAAACGCTGTGTTGGTCGAAAGTTTTTTTTTTTTTTCCATCGAAAGTTAAAGTAAGCATTGGTCAGCTTTAGAGAAACCTGCTCTCTGATCTGTGAAAAGAACGCTGTGTTGTGTGATTTTACTGAGAGACCCTCTGGTCAAAGCCACAGACTCATTTTGTGTCAGCTCCATTAAAGTGGAAGGAGTCGCCAACTAGAGGGATGGAGGATGAAGTGTTTCAGTGTAAAATGCTGCTCTGTTGTTCATTTCTTAAAGTTAATAAGACTGGAAACTGTTAAGAGTTAACAACATTTTTTTGTTTAAAACATATGGCTAAAACTACATTTGATATATTTTGCAATGTTTTGCACTACAAGAAAGAAGCCTAATACTTGAATTATTTATTATTTAAAAACTCTCTGGACCTAGCAGTGGAATTTTCTTAATTTAAAATATATGATAGCAAAAGGACACCCTATGCTTTTTTTTTTTTTTAGTAAGTTTTATACCAAAAATATATTGCGATATATATCGTTATCGCCACCCTTCACAATACATATCGTGATATGAATTTTATGCCATATCGCACATTCCAAATGGGGACATTACATTTTGGCTTTGCTGTACCTTATACTTCACTCAATACTTCAATAGTGATTTATTTTTTGTTAAGCCTTGTTAATGTTGTTGTGTTATGCTGTAAAAGAAGCCCATTGTCCCCATCTGAGGACATTTTGTTTTTACGTAAGTATGTAATAATCATGTAACAAAATACAACTTCCTGTTCGAAGAAGACAATTTATTTATACACATATCAGGTCCATCTAATCACAAATATCTAGGAGATTTGAAAAATGCATCACAAACCAGAGCTCGGGTCTCAGGAGGAGATAAGCGAACTAACCTAAAATTACTCTGAGTAATACTCAAGTGTTAGGCTCAATTCGTTATACACCTTAGAGGAGAGGCTGCAGTGGTGTTTGGCAGGTGAGCGAATACTTTTGGCAATGTAGTGTATGTAGAATGTAAAGAAGGTAAGTCCTAAGACTGAACCTTGTGGTACACCATTGCTGACCATTAAATAACTGGAGGAAGTACCATTATGTTGAACACATTGCCTCCGATCTGAAAGAGTTAGAGAACCAACCAATTGTATGATCTGAGAAACCAATTACTGAGAGCTTGTGACAAGATGTCATGATCCACAGTGTCAAAATCTTTAGACAGGTCTAAGAAAAGTGCAGCACAATAATTCTTAGCATCCAATACTTCAACGATGTATATAAAAACCTTTAGGGAAGCCGTCATGCTGTGTTTCCTGAAAACAGATTGATGGGGAGGTAAGATGTTTAAGGAGTCCAAATACTTTTTGATTTGAGAGTTTATCAGTTTTCTAGAACCTTGGCTAAAATGAAGAGTTTAGAGATTGCTCGATAATTGTTCAGTGAGGTGGGGTCACCTCCCTTCAGCAATGGTAGAACAAAGGCTGTTTTCCAAGCATCTGGAATGGAATTTTGGCTTATGGACAGGTTAAAGATGTGGGACAACGATACTGCGATGATACGAGTCAAAGTCAGATATTTTTTATTGTCATTCGCACCACATGTAAATGTGGTGGAGCGAAATTACAAAGTATGTACACAGGGTCCCAGTTACATCCAACAATAAAATGTACAAGAGAAAACAGTAATAAGATCTAAGATATGAACTAAGAAAAACAACAACTAAAATACACTAAGCACTCATAACATAAAACATTACATTGAACAGCAGCACGAACATGAGCATGAGTCTGTGTGAGAAGATGAGCACGCATGAACACATCATGGAACATATCAGCAGCAACTAACCAGCCTGGTTAGAGATTCATGAGTCTAACAGCCTCAGGGTAGAAGCTGTTCCTCAGTCTAGTGGTTCTACACTTAATGCTCCTCAACCTCCTTCCTGAGGGGAGCAGGGCAAAAAGTGTGTGTGCTGGGTGAGTGGGGGTCCTTCACGATGCAGGTGGTCCTCTTCCTGCATCTGGAGGTGTAGATGTCTGTGATGGTGGGGAGGCTGACTCCAACATCTTCTGTGCAGCCTTCACCATTCTCTGCAAAGCTTTTTTTTCTGCAGCTGTGCAGCCTCCATGCCACACGTTGATGCTGGAGCACAGGATGCTCTCCACTGCACACCAGTAGGAGGTGAGGACTGAGCTTCCAGACCAGCTCGTCTCAGCCGTCTGAGGAAGTATTGTCTCTGATGAGCTTTCTTGATCAGGCTGGTGGTGTTGTTGCTCCAGCTGAGGTTGTTGTTCAGGTGTACACCCAAGTACTTGTAGCTGGAGACCACTTCCACCACAGTTCCTCTTATGTTCAGGGGGTGTAGGTATGTTTGTTCCTTCTGAAGTCCACAATCATCTCCTTTGGCTTCTTCACATTGATGTGAAGGTTATTCTCTTTGCACCAGCTCTCCAGGTGTTCCACCTCCTGCCTGTAGCTGGACTCATCATTGTTTGTGATGCATGCCACCACCGCTGTGTCATCTGCAAACTTTACAATTTGACAGCCTGGATGGGTAGCTGCACAATCATATGTGAGCAGAGTAAACAGGAGGGGGCTCAACACACATCCCTGAGAGCCTGTGCTGAGGGTTATGGTGGAGGAGGAGAAGTTGTGAATCCTCACTAAGTGTGGTCTGTTTGTTAAGAAGTCTAGTACCCAGTTGCAAATGGAGGGGCTTTGTCCTAGTGTGCATAGTTTGTCCATCAGGGTTTGTGGGATCATGACATTGAAGGCGGATGTGAAGTCCACAAATAGCATACAGATGTAAGTCTTTCTGCTCCAGGTGGGTGAGAGCAGTGTGGACCGCAGAAGAGATGGCATCCTCTGTTGATCGGTTCTCATGGTATGCATACTGATGAGGGTCCTTGTTGATGTTGATGGTTACTTTGATTTGGGTCATGACCAGTTTTTCGAAGCATTTAGCGACTATCGGGGTGAGGGACACTGGCCAATAGTCATTCAGACCAGTCACTGTAGAGCTTTTTGGGACTGGGATGATGGTGGCAGTCTACAGGCAGGTGGGAACTGTCTCCAGGGTAAGTGAGGTGTTAAAGATGTCTGCCAGCACCTCACAAGAGCTGATCAGCACATTCTTTCCAACACTTTTCCGGGGATGTTGTCTGAGCTGGTTGCCTTGTGCAGATTAATCCTCCTGAAAGTACTCCTTACTTCTGCTAAGGTCACACTGAGATGATCTCCATCCGGTGGTGAGAAGAGTCTGGTGCTGGGTGGTCTGTTCAGGTCTTCAAAGCATGCATAGAACTTGTTGAGGGCATCAGGCAGAGATAGGTCTTTGGAGCATTGTTCGCTCCTTCCTTTATAATCTGTTATGCACTTAATGCCCCTCCACATGCTCCAGGGGTCTTGTGAGGTGAATTGACCCTCGATCCCCTGTGCATATGTGGCCTTGGCCCTCTTAATACCAGCAACCAGCTTTATCCTTGTCCTCCTCAGCTCCTGTGAGTTTCCAGACCTGAAAGCAGTGTTCCTAGCTTCCAGCAGGGTGCGCACCTCTGCATTCAGCCAAGGTTTTCTGTTTGGGTAGCTTTAAACATATCTGATGGTGGAGACTGTGTCAGTACATGTACTAATGTAACCAAGAACTGAGGACGAGCATTGGTCCAAATCAAGCGAACCTCCATTTTTAGCAGCTTCTCTGAAAACCTGCCAGTCTGTTCAATCAAAACAATCTCTCAGTATGGCACTACTGTCCTGGATCCAACATTTAACTTTCTTTTGTACTGGTCTGGAGCGTCTCAGCGGGGGCATGTAAGCAGGAGCCAGGAAGATTGAGATGTGGTCTGACAGTCCTAGGTGGGGGCAGTGTTCAGCTTTTTATGCATCTTTTACGTTCGTGTAAACACGGTCCAGCATGTTGTTTCCATGTGTTGGTATGCCCACAGGCTGGTAAAAGTTTGGGAGGCAGTCCTTTAGATTCACGTGATTAAAGTCTCCGGCTACCATGTAAAGAGCTTCAGGGTGTTTGTTCCGTAGCAAGCCGATTATATCATGCAGTTCCTGCAAGGCGTCATTAGCATTAGCATCCGGAGGAATGTAAACAACTGTGATGAAAGTCACTGTGAACTCGCAGGGTAGCTAATGTGGCCGACATTTCACTGTTATTTGCTCCAAAGCCTTCGAGCATGAGCTTTTTACAACAGTACAGTTCGTGCACCAACTTTTACTCACGTAAATGCACACTCTGCCTCCCTGTGATTTTCCCATTAGCTCGCTGCAGCGGTCCGCTCGAAAATAAAGAATCTGTATCTGGTGTTTCACTTGTAATCCATGTTTCCGTGAGGAAAAGCACCACACACTTCATCATCTCTTCTGAGGCGCCCGCTCTCAGACGAAGCAAATCCATTTTGTTGCCCAACGAGCGGACGTTCGACAGAAAGATAGACGGCATCGGGAGTTTACCGGCTTTAGCGTTAGCTCGTAGCCTCACCATAAACCCCGCCCGGCGTCAGCCTTAAGAAATATGGTGGAGGTTCATCTGGTCCTGCAGATTTTTTTAGAGTCTAGATTTTTTAACAATTTATTATCCTCACTAACTGAGAACGGGGAAAAAGAAAAGGTGCGATTTACTCAAGATTGACTTGTAGGAAAGATTTGGTTTGTATAAGCTTGACTTTTTGGGGAAGTGGCTGATTTTCCATTATTAACTGTCAAATAAAGAACTAGAAGCGACAAAATGTTTGTTGAAACAGTTCTTCAGGATCTCGTGCTTAGTAGACACAGGAACAGAGTTAACAGAGTTAACGCTCCTACAAGAACCCTGCAGATGTTGGATGCTGTCTATCATGGTGCACTAAGATTCATAACTGGCTGTGATTATCGTACCCACCACTGCACCCTGTATTCATTGGTTAACTGGACATCATTAACTTCACGCAGACTCTCTCACTGGTACATTTTCATCTTTAAATCACTTCTTGGTCTGCTGCCTTCATACATCTCCTCCTACATGTCTCTGCGTGAGTGCAGCTACGGAGTGCGCTCTCAGGACATTATTACCTGCAGTGTTCCCTCAGTGAGGACTGAACTAGGCAAAAGGGCCTTCTCCTACTCCGCTCCTGTTTCCTGGAATATCTTACAAAAAGATTTGAAGCTCTCGACCTTGACCTCTCTAAGTGGCTTTAAGAATCTGTTGGACTCCTGGCAGGGACCAATGCAGACATGTTCCTGTTTTTAGTTTTATACATTTGTCTCGGAATCTAGCAGTTTTTTTGGTTTTGTTACCTTTTTCCTTTTAGCCATCCTATTTGTTAAAAAAAAAAAAAAAAAAAACTGTAGTATGAGTTTTTATAACTGCTTATTGTTGTTGCTGTTGTCCATTGTTGTCATCTTTCTTTGTTGAAATCAGGTCTCTCTTGTAAATGAGTCCTCGAGGCTCAATGGGATTTACCTGTATAAATAAAGGTTGATTGATAACAAGAAGTTGTGATAGGAAATCAGATGATTGGGAGCTGCCTGAGAAAGACGATGGTTTTCCAGAATCTTTTAGGGTCACTTAGATTTTTGGAGGTCTGAGATACAGTAAGAAATAGTTATGTTTTGCAGCTTTGATGGAAGTTGTGCATTTATTCCTCATCTGCCAAAAACTCAACCAATCAGTGTCTGAGCCAGATTTTCTTGCTGCAGAAGGTCAGCTAGCTCAGGAGTAAACCAAGGGTTGTCTCGTCCTTTTATTCTGAACTGGCGGAAAGGAGCATATTTTATTTTTTACAAAACAAATGAAACTATTATGAAAGTAGTTCCAAGAGAGTTCACGTTGTCAGTTAATAGAATACGATGCCAATCCAAGTGAGATAAGTCCCAGAGGAATGACTGTTCACAAAAACCATCTTAGCACCAAAATAACTGGTTTGTTCCACTTTGGAATAAGATGTTGGGGGAAGAATCAGTTCTGTGTTGAGTGTTTCCTTGACGGATGAAGTCTTCTGGATGAAAGGTGAAACTTTTCAGTACAAAAAAAAAAGAAACCGTCCAGATGACCCAACTGAAAATTGTTGGATTGTATACCTGGATTACTGAGCATGGACTTTGTTGGTTCACAAAAACATTTCAAATCCTTTTTTTGAATTTATCTGGGCTTAGGGTGATGAAAGTTTAACGTCTCTGAGAGCCGCTATTACACAATGATCACTTTATAGTAAACGTGTGTCTCAGTTGAACTTTTCCTTAATAAATGCACTTTGACAGTCAAATCAGCAGAATTTAAAAAGCCGATTCGCGGAAGCGGGAGCACGCAGAGGGACGACTCGCTGTGCATTTCTTCAGAATTTAACGAGATAACTACCTAAAAACAATTATTTGTTTGCTCGACTTTATAGTAAAGGTGTGTCTCAGTCTACCTTTTACTTAATAAATGCACTCCAATGGTCAAATCAGCTTCATTTCGCTGGGGCGATGCAGCGAAATTAAGCTGATTTGACAGTTGCTGCAGGCATGATCCCAGAGCTGGCGAAGGTGGCAGGCTGTGGCAAGCTAATTGTGCCATTAATAGCCACTTTTACCTATTACAAGACACAACAGCATGCCATACTGCTCGAGTGCCATCTAGCGGCTGAAAATGGTAGTGTTCAACATTTTCAGTCAGAATGAATGAAAGCAATCATATCTCAGCCAAAAATTGGTTTTTAAATATGAGAAGAAAAAAAAGTTGCTCCTGTGTGTCGCAGGGCATGCAAATTATGCAAAAAAACTGTGACTATGGTCACGTCTCAATTTATTCAGATATAAAAAGATCAATGCACTTATGAGTGCCTGACAATAAAAATAATGTAAGGCACACCAAAGCTAACAAAGTTAATACAGACACAAATATATATTTTTCTTTAAATGTCTGAATTTGTAATTAATTTTACAGTGACCCTCCTAAAATCACTTATTTTTAGCTTAAAATGAATTTGGGATAAAACATAGATTTTACCAGCATTGTTCTTATTGAGTGTAGGTTTTATGAAAAAAATTGCATAACAGGGAATATTCTGACCTCTCTGTGATTTCAGCTGCTTCACCCTCCTTATCTTTGTCCTCATCTTTCTTCTCTCCCTTCTGCAGAGGCTGCGAGATGACGTCATCAGTGAACGAGCTGAAGTACGATTTAATGAACTGAGGAGAAGGCATCATGGGCTCACGATTCTGCAGAGGAAAGTTTTGGAAAACCTTACCAAACAATTTTTTTTTTTAAACACACATTTTCACATTAGGGGTGAGCAAAATAAATTTAATTGATATTTTGCACCTTGTTCATTACGTGATATTTTAAAATGACCATTAGGAATAAATTTCAACTACAGTTTTTTTAACTGTCACTCATACTCCTCTTCTCATGCAGACAACCTGGCATCACTGAGCTTTGTTTTGCCCTTTTTTCCCCCCTTTTCCACCACTATTATTCAGCCTCAACGCTGCTCAGCCGGCTCAGATCAACCTGGATTTCCACCGCACTTCAGGACGGGTTCTGGAGGCGTGTCCAGAATCCAAAATCCTGCTAATGAACTATTTAGTTTACCATGAGAGTTCTGCGATGAGTTAAACTCAAAGCAGTCTACTCCTCAGATAAATAATGTTAAATTATTATTTTTAAATATGAATGTTTCTGTTAACTTATTTTATATATGAATATTCCTGTTCAGTGCGATGAGAGAAAAACCTTCACATCAATGTGAAGAAGACACAGGAGATGATTGTGGACTTCAGAAGGAACAAAAACATCTACACCCCCCTGAACATAAGAGGATCTGCGGTGGAAGTGGTCTCCAGCTACAAGTACTTGGGTGTACACATGAATGACAACCTCAGCTGGAGCAACAACACCACCAGCCTGATCAAGAAAGCTCATCAGAGACTCTACTTCCTCAGACGGCTGAGGCGAGCTGGTCTGG